GGGGGGTGTCCGAGCCGGGCCGGGGAGACATCGGCGGCGACCCCAGCACCGGGCGAGAGGCGCACCTACCTTCATCTTCCTCATCCACGGAGGCTGAAGGTCGCAGGCGCTTCTGGTCACCAGAAGAGGCCGTGTCTGGCGGCTCCTTCCTCTTGACCTTGAAGGAGGGCAGGCGGATGGCGCCGCGCAGCCCGATGCCCAGGCCGAGGCCCTCGTAGCCCAGGCCCTCAGCCTTGCCCCACGACTCCAGCAGGCACGAGGCGATGCGGTCCTTGGGCTTCGGCCGGTCCTCGTCCTTGTGCTCGCCCGACTTCACTGGGGTCAGGGAGGCCTGGGGTGCCAGAGAGGATGACACTGTCCCCACGGCCACGGGGCGTCCCTCTCTTAGCAGCCCGCCTCCCCTCAAACGTGACAGCCACACCGTAACTGACACTTCCTTCCCGCAAAACTGGCTGCGCTCTGAGGCCACGGCTCAAGACACCGGCAGCGCCCCACTCGGCCTCACTGAACCTCAATGTCCCCACCTGCAGAGCAGGCTCCACGCGGCAAGTGCACATCCGTGTGGCTACACGAGCTTCACGAAGTCACACTCACACTGTCCTACTTGGGGTTACAGGGAGCGCCGTTTCCAAGAACACGTCTCAAGAGAGGAGGGGGTGGGGGGCTGGCCGGCCTCCCTGGGGCACCCCGCACCCGCTGCCTACCTTGGCCATCCGCTCCTTCTTGTCCCACCACTCGTCGAAGGCCCGGAAGGCCACCACCTCGACCATCTTGCGGTTCAGGTCGCGCTTCATGATGGCCTTGAGCTCTTTGAGCACCACCAGCAGGACGCCATCGACAGTGGCCTTGTGTGGGTCCTCCTGGCGTGGCACGTAGCCGGGTGGTGGCACCGACGGGTCAAACTTGGGGAGGGGTGGCCAGGGCTGCCCGCGGCCTGGTCCGCTGTTGCTCAGGGAGAACGGGCCCCGGTAGGGCGGCAGGTTGACAAACTGCAGCCCAGCTGAGGCCGCCGCCGCCGCAGCGGCCATGAAGGGTGGGTAGGGGCAAGCGCCCTGGCCGGTCATCAGACGGCTCAGCATCTGCGTTTGCATCTGGAAGGACATGGGCATGCCGCCCCACTGGCCACCCAGCACGTGGCTCATATCCACCTGCATCACGGGAAACAGCCCCGGAGGGAAGGGTGGCAGCGGCGGCAGGATGGGCGGGGGTGGGACACCAGGTGGCGGCGCTGGCAGGGGTGGTGGGGGCACTGTCACAGCTGGGTGGGCCGGG